AAAAATATTCTTGTAACGACTCTGGGATCCGGCGAGAAAAACCCCGGCTTGAGAGAAAAAAAAAAAGGTTCTTTACAACTCTCAAGTGATATATGACAGATCTACTATATTTACCGTATTTTGAAGTGATTGTACTTGGTTTAAGTATGGTAGTGTTCCAGTTGATCATGGAAGAGATAAATTACCTAGTCATAAAACTTTTTATTGCATCGTATGAAACATTGTTAAAGCCATCGAAAATGTTTGCTTCAAAAGATTTTCTTTTTTCATATAGTAACATATATGTATAAAGTGATTTTTAGTAAAACAGTTCTATATAAAATTTGATGTACAGTACAATACAATGAATGACCTTTTTTTTTAATAGTCTTATTATTATTGCTGACGTTTAATCGCTGAATTATATAGCAACTAACTGTTTTTGTAAAATTAATAAGACGCTACAAATGATATCACAATCATAAGCACTTACTAGATCATCACAGCACAAACGGCCTGGTTTCAAATCCCACTAAGTTATGGTCAAAACCTGAAACGCCTTAAAAACGGGCATAAAGAGTTATTAAATTTTTGCAGCAAATAAACGTTTACAATTAAAATAAACGTTTACCATGGTATATAATTGCAAATATAGTTCTACTTCTTATTTCTACATTTCTACATCTATTCTTGTTCTTGTGTTCTAGTTCAAAAAGGAAAGGAAAAGGAACAGCTTCGAAAAGGAAGTTGTATTTTATTTCTAATACACACCTATTAAGAGTTTATGAAAAATTATAACATAACTCTAAAAAAAACTAAAAAGTGTTAACTCGGTTTTTATGATATTGTATTGTTGAAAAACTATGATTTATGTATGTTAATACCACAATCCTTTCAAGAAATTCTTTAAGTCGGTCTCTTTATTGGAACAACTCTTAAAGAAACAGTTGATGATAGTCATGTTTTAATACAGCGCTGTCCAGATCAGAGGCGATCGCGGGCCAATACAAATCACTATATAGATTGGAGCGCCGCAGAAACACATAGGTTCATAATTGTTTTCGACAAAAATAAAATGTCGGTTATAATATTAAATTTACTTTTATTAATTTATCAATTTAAATTCATTTATTTGGTAAACCATAAAAGTAAAATACAGTTAGACTCCGGTTAACGCCTGGGATACGTTCCGTCAAAGTAGAGCGTAATGCGAAACAGCGCTAAACGAGGCTATGTTAACATGTAAATATTGAGGTTAGGGGAAGATTGATAGAAAATTGCTTAGGTATTAAATTTAATAATTATGTTTCTTTTAATAATAATAGAACCGAATATTTTTTTCTTACAAAAACAAAAGCAATGTTATTCAGTCTATTCTGTGTTTCCAATCTTTCGTCTCTTTGTCAAGAAGGCATCTAAAGCATCTATAATACCCCGTCTTGCTTTTGAACTCCTGCCAAAATTTGGATCAATTTTAACAAATTGGTTCATAATTTCAGTTGTAGTGGTCAAATTCCTTTTCACAAACAATATCGAAAGTTCTTTTTGCTCTTCTTCGAAATCACTACTATTTTTGTTTTCTTCTTGCTCAATTAATTCCTTGAGCTAATCATTAGCAAAACTATTTGCTGTTTCTTGAACTATTTCTTTGACGTCTTCCACTTTTACCTCATCTAAACCGGTTTGTTTCGCTAATTCTACTATTTCTATCACTATTTCATCTATATCGACAGAGGGTTCAATATCTTCGCTCTTACTTAAATCTGGTTAAATGTTTTCTCATACTCTTTTCAAAGATCTTTCTGTAATCTTATTCCAAGAAAGGTTTACGTTTTCTACAACATTCATGATATTGTAGTCTCTAGTCTCTCTTCTCTTACTGATTGCTTCTCTTCTCCTTTTGTTTTGTCAAACATCTGCTTAAATGTTCGAGTTGAAATAAAAGAGCGCTAAGCCGAAACAGCGTTAAACGAAACAGCTTTTAGCGGGGTCTTACTGTAATGTTTTACAAGTACACTAGAAAAAAATTTGCGTAGTTTTGGTAGATTAAAATCATGATCCGTCATGTTTGGACGGCTCTGTTTTAATATAGAGATTTCTTGAATAAAACATATAACATTAGTAAATATTGAAAATAAACAAATTAAGGGCTTAGTTCCAGCAGTAGCCTACGTCTACTTCTCGGATCCACTCATTAGTTTTAATGACTATTTTGATGACCGTTCACTACTCTCAAAAGTGATTATATTATATAAAATAAAACAAGTTTTTTTTTTTTTAATATTTATGTGGATTTTTTAATGTTTTTGTCTTTTTATTTTTATATTTGAATGTTAATTTAAAATAACAAATTTACAATGTAACTTTAATATTATTTTATTTTGTCTTTTGTGTTATATATAATTTGTTGTTACATTTTCATTTTACATATAAATTTGCCTTTTCTAAATATTTTTTTAATATTAATATATAATAATTGCAATTTTTATTTAAATAACTCTTATGCACAAATACGGTGTGTTGCTAGTAGATAAATTCTAATTGAGTTTTAAATAATATAAACACTAGTTATTTACGTTTTTATATGCTTTCAAATTATGTATATATAATTATACATATATATATATATATTGTTTTTTTTATTTTTATTTACTAAACTCTAATTACATGTTAGGCATATATACAAAATCTCACACGAACGCGCCGAATGTCGCGTGTTTTGCATGCGACAATTGCCGCGTCCGCGTTCGACACTAAAACAAATTCTCAATTTTTTTTTTTCAATTAATTTAATTATAATTACATTGCTGCACTATTTTACTTTATATGCGATTTTATATATAGTCAAATGCGTACTATATAAATACAAATTATTTTTCGGTTTAATTGTTAATTTAATTACTATAATTACAACTTTGACGTTTGTTATGAGAAATTAATTCGTTTTGAATATATTCACACGAAATAAAGATATGTAAAAAAAATAAAAATAATAATAATAATAATGAAAAGTGTAAATAGCAATTAAAGGTGCTAATTAACTATAATTAATATTGCTTTTTATTTTTAATTTTAATGATCTTTACAATTTATTTCTTTATAATATTTCTTTATAAAATTCAACTGATTGCATTTATTTTTTCTAAAGTATATTTTTACCTGGAGAAGTTGACCTGGAGAAGTCGGTGTATGAATTGAATTTCTTTGATATAAAAGTTTGATTATTATATCGTTTGTGGATGAAATTGTATTTTATTTATACATATATAAATCACATTAAAAGTAATAAACATAATAGTAAAAACATAATTAAAATTAATAGACAACTTTTAGTTAAAATCCCTGGCTTAGCCAAAGTTTGTACATTTCAGACTCGCAGAAACATTTTTAATAGAACTTTTTTAACTCAAATAATGTCTTGATTTATTGAATATTGTTGTGCATACATATAATTTTGCAAAATCAGCTTCTAAATAACTAAATCACTGAGTTACAATATTTCAAAATAAATCTGTAGATCTGCTAATGTACATTACTTGTTTTAACCGTCGAGAGTCTCATTGACAACTTCTAATAAATTTTAAACTTATACGAGGAACATGTTGGATTTATAATAAATTTAACAACTAAATAATTTTTACAAAATAGTTATAAAATTTTCCTTTTGTTTTTTTTTTGAAATTAATAATACTACAGGAAGTTTTGCGAATAAAAAAAAATTATTTTATAAAAAAATTGTTTTAAATTTACACGAGAAAATAAAATAAAAACTCTTTGGTTTCAGAACTTAAGGTTAATAACATTCAGCCAACAGTTCTAAATAAAAATAAACCGTTTGACTGAACTCTTCACTCAACAATTTACAAATTAAATTTTATTAATAATTAATAATTATTATTCATTAATTTTAATTAGGAAATCACGCTTCTATATACAAATTAAGGTGTGAGTGAACATAAATTCAATTAACTAAACTCTTTAAAAATAATCGTAATTTGGAACATGTGTTACTGGTTTGTTCTGTATTTGTTTGTGTGTCTCTGTGTAACTAAGCTTTAACATACTGGTACATAATGAAAACCTTCCTTCCTAACCTTCCTTAAGACATGGTGGGCCACTGCATATCCTTTCATAAATACACATTAAATTGCAGCATAAATCTGATATCGCTTCTCGCACTAAATCACTGCATATTGCGGTCACACGTCATCGAGATCAATGACGGACGAACGGTCATTGTCGTCCCTATCAAATAAATGTCACTGATCTGCATGTGAAGGCGACTTACGTTGCAGTTCATCGAGCGTGCTGCCGCCATTGCCATTATGTTGCACTTCGAGCCCATTGACCATTTTCTCAATGCTCTTCAATTCCGAAGGCGAGTTGTTACGCTTGAGCAAAGATGGTGGTGTGGTAGGTGACATTGAGATAGGTCGCGTTGGTGGTGAATTGGATGAGGCACGTGGTCGTGGACTTGAACTTAGACTACGTGGTCCATTATCAATGCTGCCAGCACCGCTGCTAATACCAGGCCCCTCAGAGCCAGGTCCACTGCCACCAACACGATTTGCATTTGAACCTGGTGTAACAGCATCAAATGCTGAACCCAGACTACCCGGCAGGCTATATGGTGAAAAGCG